CACACACACACACACACACACACACACACACACACACACACACACACGCACACGCAAAGATGGATGGATTTCTTAATCTGGTGGTCAAACAAGATTTTATAATGTTACCAGTGTGTAGTTTACTTAATTGCTGGTTTACTTGTAGTGTGGGATGGATGCAGTATTCTTTGAAAGGCAACATTTTTTAACCTTAAAATGTTTTAATAAAAGAAAATATGTAAAACTAGTTTGTTTGCAAAAGCAATAGCTAAACGCTGCTATTTTGATTTAAGACACAAAATATTTTTGTTATGATTTTACATCTAGGTACATTGTTATAATTAGTAGTTCACATAATTTGTATTTTATGGTTAAACAATGAAAAGCAGTGCATTGCATCCTTCATAAACTGTTTCTTTTATTAATTTATTTGTTTCCACATAAAAAAATAAATTGGCTTTGTTGCAAGTAGAATTGTTTTCCCCTTTACTTCTTACTTTCCTTTAGGTCAGAGGAGCCCAAAGTGGGGCCCGCGGGCCAAATTTGGCCTGCCAAGCCATTTGATTAGGCCCACTGTGACGGCCCCTGCTGCTCAGTTGATTGCAGTCAGCTGCCGCCTATTGACTAATTGTGCTTCTTCACCAGGTCATCCTTAGGGGGTGTGGCCTGTACCTATTTGAAGCATGCACCTGGAGTGCTGAGGAGCGCTGTGTGGCTGGCGAGGGCTTGGAGGTTCATCGCTCAGCGGCTTGTGTTGGTTTGTGTGCTGTACCTGTCCTGTCGGTCTGCTGCTGCTGCGTGCCTCACGGGAGAGACATCCTGCTGACGTGCAGATGCCGAGTCGGGGTTTTTGGAGCTAGAGAGAGGACACTGAAACGCGGACGCGGAGGTGCACGGAGGACACAACGGTGGTCGAGAAAACCAGACCACAGACTTGCTCGTAACAGGTGGAACGTAAACCTGGACCACGGACTTCAGAGGGTCCAGCTTGGTGAGAAACATCCGGTGCATTCGGGAGCTACGGAGCTTCAAACCGGACCAACGAACTCACCTAATCCTAGACAAAACTTTAATAAATACCTTTTAAGGTTTTAAA